TAATTATATATAACATGTATAATATATATAATCTTGCCTACCTTGCTTTGTATAGGCCCTATGTGAAACTTTCCAATTAAAATTATGAGTCACAATATAACACACAGATTTATTATTCCATTCAAATTTAGTAATAATGTCTTTACCTATCGTTTCTGTAGATTGTGCTGTTTCATTTAAGATAAACTTCCCTACTTTCTTTCAGAAACAAAGGCTGACCTTAGAGTCAGCTGAGATGTCGTCACTCTCTCTGGCTCCACGCACCTTCTCGCGCCAGTCCTTTGCATCTCGCGCGCGGTTTCCGTAGGTTTTCTCACGCTCCACAGCGGACCAATCAGAGCGCTTCCTTTCCTGAGCAGCGTCCCGTTGCCATGCGGGTGACCTGAAGCCTGTGCTGTCCTGTCTGCAGCGAGGGTGAGTTCTGCTGCAAATTATTTGTTAAATACCGATAATAGTTCGCTTTGGTGAAATATTTCAATATGTACATCCCTCTTTATTTTCAGGTTGTTCTTACGCTACCAGAAGCTGTGGTCAAAAAGCTGTGAGCTTGTGCAAGACTTGGGGATATTAGCCCTTTACCAATAAACTTTACCTTATAAATGTGTTTTTTAACATGCCTAGAGTTGTGCTGCAGACAGGCCGACAAATAGATTTTTTCCCAAACGTTAGATGCAAGCAGTCAACTGCAGTTACGGTAATAAGCAGGCTAGAGACAGACACGCCTATTACTGTGCGTTGGCCCAATCTCACATATGAAGTCTTAGCACACGACCAATGGTTACAGATATGCAAATATTCGCCTGACTTGCATTGTCCCAGACGGTTTTTATGTGAAGTTGCCAGATTTATCCCTCAGTTGCAGTATAGTAGGCTAAAGGTTAAGTGTGTCTAGTCACGAAGATAGCAGGATAACTGGCCAGCACCGTTCTCTTTCCACGACGGCGGATTGGGATTTTATGTACAACATGACTTTTGAGGAACTAAGTGGGGATTATTCTCAAGAAAGGTAAACCACTAACTAATAGAACATCGATGCATATTCACTGGTATCAATCTGTTTCCATTGTAGTGTTGTGTGCATGATCTTTAGAGCTCTTTCTGTTCTGTTGTGCTTTCAGCAGGCTGTAAGGTGCATACTACAGCTGGTTATAGATATTATCAAGATGTAGAGTTGATCGATCAGATGCTCTTCTTTTTAGAACTTGTCGCGCGACTCTTTCATAACTACTTCAGGTTAGCTAACACAACGCTGCACCCTGGGTTTAAATGAACAGAAACATCTGAAAAGGTGTATTTTCACTCTCCAACAGCTGTCAGAACAACTTGAACAACGGCACTGATGCCGTTTAGTTTTGTTACGTCACGAACTCAACTTACATGCACGTCTGTCAGCTTTGGCTGGAACGAAGCCGGGTGGTTAGCTAGGAGTCCCGCTAACGTTAGCCAGAAAAATGGACGGTGGAAAGTGTTTTTTGTTTGTACAGTTGTAGTGATGTTAATGTATATTTGTTTGTGTTGCAGAATGGATTCAGTGGCGAAAGCTTTAGAAGAAGTTCTCATCTCTGCGTTACCACAGGGCTGCATTACAGTCGGTGTCTATGAGGCTGCCAAGTCCCTGAATGTGTAAGTACAGGGTTATACCGGCTCACACTGTGTGATCACTCACGCTGTAAAAACACGTTTGACCTACTTATGTTAACAGGAAACATACTGTGCACTTTGTTAGAAATATAAATAGACTTTTTTTTCCCTCCCTCTTCAGAGACCCTGATAATGTGGTTTTGTGCATCCTGGCTACTGATGATGAAGACGTGAAAGATGTGGCCCTGCAGATTCACTTTACCCTCATTCAGGCTTTCTGCTGTGAGAATGACATCAACATCCTCCGAGTCAACAACACCAGACGCCTGGCAGAGATACTGGGTGGAGCAGGAGGTGGAAAACAGGGTGGGGGTGAACCTATGGACCTCCACTGTGTCCTGGTCACTGTAAGTATCTTTTCTGAGAAATAAGTCTTGTTATGTTGTGATTTTTGTATAAGATGGTGAAGCATGTGCATGGGAGTGAAGCACGTATTCAAGAGAGGACATGTCCATACTGGTTCTTGTGCATTTGGTAAACCGGTACATGACTCCTCCCTTACATGACTCTTGTGGAATTGCAGTAGAGGGGAAATATTATCTACCTGCACAAATAAACACTGGGACTTTCTGAGCAGAGGTAATCAAAAGTGGTGGTAAATGCATTTACATTTTTACTGTCTTTTTATCACTATTTACAGAGTCCACATTCTACTTCATGGAAAGACCCTGCTTTGAGCAAAGTGAATCGATTCTGCAGAGAGAGCCGCTGTCTGGACCAATGGGTACCTATCATCAACCTGCCTGAACGATGAACTTTTTTCACTGCAAGAACCCGTGAAAGGACTTTTATATGCATCGGAGGAGTAGTGTGAACCCAGATGGACACATTACCAGCCAGAGATCAAATTCCATAGCACTGCTGATGAGGAAAGACAGTTTTGGAGGGGAAAAACAGAGGCCCCACTGTGGGATGTATTGTAAAAATGCAGGGGGATGGATTTCCACTTTGGAGAAGGCTGTTTGGAATTGCATCTGTCAGCTTTTGCAACCAAGATGAGATGGCGAGGCTCTTGTATTGTCCTGAAGTGGAAATAAATTAAGAACGAAAAAAGCATGTGTGCTTTTTAATGTGCAACTGGACACTGTAAGGAAGAGTTGTCTTGGTTTGGTGAGGCCTCTGTGATGAGTCACAAAAGCAGGGAGGATCCAGAACATGGAACTGCTGAGTGGAATAAGGCCTCGGCCTCCCCCTGCAGAAACAGCGTGCTTGTTGAAACACTGGACTGTTTGCAGTTTGATTGAAATTGTTAATGTTGATGTTGTAATTTAAAAAGGGAAGGGCTACACATCCAGTGAAAACATTCTGTCTATTTAATGTTTCCTATGCCAGCTGGGTTTTTCCATAAGTTAAATAGTTCTTTTGTTACATTTCTAAGTTATTTCTAATGATATTTAAGTGTATTTATGTTTCATTTTTTTACCTTAACTATTGCAGAATCTGAATATAGCACACACACACTTATGTATTGCTATCAATAAAAAAAAGTTTTTTGGAGCCAAACTACATGTGTGTTCTTTTTTCTTTTCTTTTTTTCAATTTCTGGAAATGTTCATAAAGTCAAGCTGAATTCTGACTTTTTCTTCTGCCCCGGCCAGTTGTAAAAGAAGAGTCATGTGCAGATCACAGGGGTCATGTTGGCCTCTATGGCCTCAGTGCCACCTCTGAGCTGGAGAGAACAATGATCCTCACCGCTCTCCCTGCACAGGCTTCTGCCTCAGTCAGCATGAACACGTTGGTTCATTTAAACAGGCTCCCTTTGCACTAGTTCTCTATGATTTGTTGGGCAGTTTAGTTTGCATTTTCACCGGCTGACTTCCTAGAAGAGAGCATGTGGCAGTTGCGCATATGCAGCATTGATAAAGAAACTCGTGATTCCTTACACAGACCATTCATAGAAGAGTCATGTGTTTACAGTTGAGACGGCAAGATTACATCAGGTGTTTTCATGCTATTTGTGTTGCTGTCTACCTTTGAGCTCGCTAACAAAATATGTGGTGTAGCTCTTGGAAAATCCTGCACAGGATCCTCTGGCATGAAATCTATTGTGTAAGACAGCCTGAACTGGTCCCTCCACTCCCCAGCTATTTTCCCTTTCCAACTGTGTCTCATGCGCACCCTCGTGATCTCTATGGAGTTGAGTTTCTGTGATGTCACCAGGTTGATGTAAGGCAGGCAATCCCCTCTGAAAGTGCAGAGTCATGATCACAAGAAGAGAGAGGGCAGAGCCTGTCCTTGAGTTACACAAGCTAGTTCAGCCTTTCATGTCAGAACTGCATGTTTTATAAAATGCCCGATAACAATTGTCGAACTAATTGCATATTTATTTGTGCTGTGCCTCATCATCATTTAAAGTCATTTGTTTCAGTATCACCATTGTTAATTTTTTTTTACCTATTAACAGTATATTTACATGCTTTTCCAGTGCATTTTCTTCAGGTGCTCCAGTTTCTTCCCACAATCTATAGCAGGTTAGGTGAACCAGAAACCCGAAACCCAGAACAGTATAAGCAAACATAAAGGTGAACGGATGAATGGACTGATGGCAACACTACAGTGTTGGCAACAGAGCTGCAGCCCTGGAGCAGTTTGGTCTCCCTGCTCACTATGTTACCCAGAAGCCCCCACTAACATGCATTAACATTAATAAGTGAACTTACACTAACTGTCTATTCTGTCATAAGTACTGTGCTATCATCGGTTTTATGCAGGTAAGGGCAAGTGTTCCCCTTCCCTAGAAATGCTCCTCTGGTTTCAGCTGATATTGTGTCAAAGGTCGTCTGGCGTGTGACTGCAGGGTGTGACGTTGACAGAGGTGATGTGCCAATGCTGTGATCCAAGGGAAGAGGGTTATTTTAAGATCTGAGGTGATGTAAGTTATGAGAAATCTCTTTGGCCTTCCAGTGAAGTCAGTTCAAAAAAGGTTGGGGATTTCATAATGTCACTGGTGCCTGATGGCTGTGCTGCAATGTAGGACAAAGTGTGCAGTGCAGTGTTGCCTTTGTGTTTCTAAAACAGAACAAACCGAGGTCATTGGATAAAACGCTGTCTACTCTGACTGGTCATATGCTGTATGGTGCACATTGGGAACACTGCATAACACAAGTCAGTCATTCATGTATACTGAATATATAAGCATTTAGCTTAAGAACATTCAGAACACAACTTCATCAGCTCACAGAGTTGGAGCTGGTTCACTAACTGTGTAGCAAAAACAGCTTAACTTGAATGCTGCCTTCAAATGTCAACCAGAAAGTATGCAGAAAGTAAATTTACAAATTAAAACTGAGCTGTACAAACCATGGATCACCTAAGGTCCTATTTTATTTTATGCTAAAATATAATCGCTTTATGCTCTAGTTTTATTGCAGAGCGAGCTACAGCCTTATCATTCTTATTAGTACATGGTGACCTCACATGAACCTCAGTCTAACTTTGTACACTTCCAACCTGAGTACATCTAATCAGTAATCAAACGTGTAATCATTAACACCTGAATGGGCATGCAGGGCCTCACTGATATATAATAATAGATCATGTTTTAGAAGTAGATCATATGTACATTATTTGCCTCTGGAATACTGTATAGCAGAGTAAAAGTACATTCAGTTGGCAGTTTGTTATACTTTTTATGTTAGCTAAAGCTAACCTTCCATCCATTTTATCCTGAGGAGGGCCGCCAATCCCAGCTATCACTGGGCGGGAGGCGGGGTACATCCTGGACAGGTCACCAGTCCATCACAGGGCTAATTAGAGACAGACAACCACACATGCCCACATTCATTCCGACGCCAATCAACCTAAGCTGCATGTGGGAGGAAGCTGGAGTACCTGGAAAAAACCTACGCAGCAGGCACAGGCACAGAGAGAACATGCAAACTCTGCACACAGGGGCACCGGCCTCTGCTGAAGCTCGAACCTTCTTGCTGTGAGGGGCACCACCATGCTGCCCCGAGCTAAATAATGCAGTCTAATACAACAAAAAACAAACAAGTGTGAACATTATCATTTCTTTTAGTTTGGTGCAGCTAATAAGCGTATAAAGAAACACAAAATAGAAATAGTTAAATAAAGTACAAATACCTTAAACTTTGGGTAAGTGTGATCAGTAGCTATACGTTCCACCACTGCCTATAAACAATGGGAATTAGTTATCATACATCTACTTTTTGTATTTCTGCCCACATCCTCAACCCACCGCCCTCACCCTCCAGTCCTCCCTCCCTTCCCTTCATCTCCCCAACATCAGCACATTCCAACACTATGACACTAACTGCCAGGACATATTATCCCAGTGAGGCACAGGGTCGGTGAGCCAGCCTGCACACCACTGGTCACGGGACAAACGGGAGTACTGCAGCCTGTGCCTTGGTGGCCTTCATGCTCACAGACAGAATATCCATCTGCATTGTTTCTTATTTGTAAATGAATACATCTAGAGTGATCCCTTTGGTGAAAAAGTAAGCTAAAAAAGCCTGCATTATGTATCCAATGTGGGCGCTATAGTTGGCTTTCAATCAGTGTTCTTTGCTCTACACAGCACTAAAGCATGTGGCTTTTCCTGCAGCAACATTTGATCTTTCAAGAACGCCAACCATGGGAAATGGAGAAGAGAAAAGCCATCTATTTATGTCATTCGATCCTTAACAATAAATGAGTGACAATATTATTTCAGTTTTAAGCGTGAGAACTGTCATTTGTAATTCAGTACCTTTACAGTCCTTACAATAGGTGATAACGTGTGTTACTCCTGCATTGTGTGCAGCACCAGCTGGCCACAAACAGCATCAGAAAGACCAGAGTGGCCGCCGTTAGAGAGAGAAAACAGACTCTCAGGCCAAGCAGACATTTTCCTAAAATAGTTACTTGTTACGCTTCAAGAGCGGAAATCGGGTTTCTATATTTAGCTCTGTTATGTTGTCTGGTGTCTGACGGCCATAGTGAGAGGTTTCTCCTCTCCTGAGTGAGATATAAATAAACAACCAAAGAAAGGAAATGGCCCCAGATAGACTGTGGGCAGAGCTCTGGCCCGGCTCCATCTGAACAATCAGGTTTCTACACTGTTTAAATCTCAGGATGGGTGGGAGCCTGTGGTCGTGACAAGCTCAAACCTTCTTACTGTGCAGCACTACACATCTTTATTAAGATACTGGTACAGTGTTGCACTGTAGGAATGCTTCACTTTATTAATTATAGTTAAGGCTTCATACAAAGGTTGGTATATTAATAAAGACATTTATCAAAATGCACTTTTGACAGTTAATCTATCAATGGTACAATAAGGCCTTTACAGAGTTGCTGAGTGGACAGAATTTATGGCATGGCAGTAGTAATCTGACTTTTTTCTTTGCGAGGCATACAAGACTGATTTATTGCATGTAAAAAGAAGTGACTACTAGATACAATCATAAAAAATACAAATGAATAACACTAGATCTCACAGATTTGAAGACCTGAAGGTACCCTTTGAAGAAGGCAATGATCCAAAGACTGCTGCAAAGCGGAGCACCAGGTAAGTGTGAAACAGTTTTACATGCTTTGCTATTGACATGTAGACAACAAGTGGCACAACACTGTTACAGGTCACTTTCATCCCACAGATACAAACTTTTGATAGAAAACCTTTTAAATAGAAAGCACTCCCAGTAAGAGTGTTCTTCACGATCCAAGGTATAAGTAAGGCTTTAGAGTGTACAAAAGGTTCCATTTATAGTATCTAGTCTGCTTTTTTTTTTTTTAAACACTACACCATAGACATTCTCCCTAGCGAATCACAACATGCCAGACATGTTAAAGTGAAGACACCCACCGACACAAATGTTAGTTTAAAGTGGGGAAAAAATGTGAGCAACCCTGGGAAAGTGGTTTTACCATCAATGGTCACTACCATTTACACCTGTGCCTACAATACGTTTGTCAAAAACACTTTAAGACAACAATGTGCACATTGGCTCAAATAAAGACACTTGTGATGAGCAAGTAGTTGCGGCTCACAGTGTTGCACAACACTTGCTGGTGTGTTTCGTGTCGTGTGTGTTCTGAAAATTATGTATCGCAGAATGTTATCAAAACAAACGGCTAAAAATCTAATGCATACAATGATGTTTTCAAAATGCAGTATCATTGGTTTGGCTTGGTCCCAAAGATCTTTGTTACATAATGTCAGCTGACACAAAGAAAACATAAAATAATAAATGTCTGCACTGCGTTAATGTGATAAAGCATTTTCGTGTTTGCTTCACTCAGTCTTGTACCTTACATGTACCAAAAGTATTACAGCACCGAGGCCATTTATGCCAATGGCTTGAATGTGGGCAAAGATGATGTTGGATTAAAGGAATTTATATGGAACTTACCTCAAAATGATGCTTCATTAAATCAGTTAAATCTTTAATATTCTGTATATTGCACATACCAGGAAAACAACGGGTGGAGCTGGATGTGGATTGTCACGGACCAATTTGATTTAACACCAGATGTCACTGCCCCAAATAAAGATACATCATGGTAACATTTGAGAAAAAGCTCAAAGTAAACCCTGACCCCTGAATTCAGTGATAAAACTGAACAAAACCGGTAAAATACTGGTGTCTGAAGCCATTATCCCCCTTCTTAAAACTGACAGGACAGGAGGGAAACTGGCTGTATGAATCCACTTAAGGCAAACCAGAGACAATAACAGTCACAGCCCAATGGAGATCAAACCATATAAAGAGAAGAAGGACCTATTCCACCACTGTGGAGTGTCAGTGCTGTTCCAATAATCAGAAAATATCTGCTGTTGATTTTTCTTAAGCAACATTATGTACCTGATACAATCACAACTCCTGCAGCCAAAGCCTTGTTAGTGGTCAGATCTCAAACAGTGGCACTGCCAAGGGCAACAGTTTCAGTGAATAATGCAGGCTAATGGGGAAGCCACAGAACACACCTTTGCTCGTTATGATTTTGCTGTTTTGAGAAAACTGAATTGTTAACAGAACAGGTGAACACATGGTAATGATGCCATCACCCCTCATTCCACCCAAACAAAAAGAATACAGCAACATTAATAAGCAAACAATAAACACATTAAGGCTAAGTGGCATCCATTACAATATAGTGCAAGTTTTTTTGTCTTTGAAGGGATTGTCTGAAGTGGGGATGCCCATAAGGAGAGGGTCGTTTCTGGCATGCTCGCTGCAGTAGTTCATAAGGTCTGCTGAGGCCTTGGATACCTACAGAAACAATGGAAGACAAAGTCACAGGAGGGATATATACGATGAATTCCGTTTACCACAGAACTCAGAAGTCGGAGCCGGGAATGGCATCACACCCGAGATACTGCACTCCAGTTCAAGCCAGGTTAGCCACTGCTAGAAATACCAGTTTATACCAAAGTATTACATGGTGTTTTGTGCATACAAACAGTGTAGCAATCTGTTCACAAACAGACATTGGACAGTATTGTGTGCACAACTGTTTTAATGACACACAAGACACAAGTGCTAATAAAACATCTAGCAGCATTTAACATGAAATTTAAAGCAACCTGATATCTTTACAATATATAAATAGGAGTGAAAGAATATGACTGAAATGGAAATGAAAAACTGGAGCAGGGATGAAATTCTGCTGCTGGTAGAGGAGGAATGTCAGATTAAACATCTAACAAGGTGGATTTGGTACCATGATGTGAGGTGCAGACAATGAAGATGCATACAGTGGGTACGGAAAGTATTCAGACCCCCTTAAATTTTTCACTCTTTGTTATATTGCAGCCATATGCTAAAATCATTTAAGTTCATTTTTTCCTCATTAATGTACACACAGCACCCCATATTGACAGGAAAACACAGAATTTCACATTTTTGCAGATTTCTTAAAAAAGAAAAACTGAAATATCACATGGTCATAAGTATTCAGACCCTTTGCTGTGACACTCATATATTTAACTTAGGTGCTGTCCATTTCTTCTGATCATCCCTGAGATGGTTCTACACCTTCATTTGAGTCCAGCTGTGTTTGATTATACTGATTGGACATGATTAGGAAAGCCACACACCTGTCTATATAAGACCCTACAGCTCACACTGCATGTCAGAGCAAATGAGAATCATGAGGTCAAAGGAACTGCCTGAAGAGCTCACAGACAGAATTGTGGCAAGGCACAGATCTGGCCAAGGTTACAAAAAAAATTTCTGCTGCACTTAAGGTTCCAAAGAGCACAGTGGCCTCCATAATCCTTAAATGGAAGACGTTTGGGACGACCAGAACCCTTCCTAGAGCTGGCCGTCCGGCCAAACTGAGCTATCGGGGGAGAAGAGCCTTGGTGAGAGAGGTACAGAAGAACCCAAAGATGACTGTGGCTGAGCTCCAGAGATGCAGTCGGGAGATGGGAGAAAGTTGTAGAAAGTCAACCATCACTGCAGCCCCCCACCAGTCGGGGCTTTAGGGCAGAGTG